CTGTAAATAAGACAAAATCAAAACTCATCTGCTAACTAGTGCCCTTGTCAAGGTTTGTACTGTTTATATTTGTAAATTTCACACTTTTACTAAAGGTAATCATGATGTACAAAACTTTTTTTAATATTATAAACATTTCAAATTTTTTCAAAAGTCTATGCGAAAAACCATTGGCTGTTTGTCGAGGATTTGAGGTTGATACTGAACTTTTTACCTTTGAGTCTTTAACTTGAATATTAGGACTTACTTTTTAGCCTGGGTTCACATATTGAGCAACACACATAAATTGCAATTTCATGCTGCATATGTGTTGAAATATGTCACATCATAGAAATAAAATGGATCGTGAATGCTGTTTTTAATGCGAAGGACCCTGAACAGGTTCAACACTTGCTGTGTATTTAATGAATTCATTTATGACTCTCACAGCTACCTAAAATGATGATTTTAGTGCAGTTTATTTTCCCTCATCTTTCAGAATGGTGATAAATCTGTTCTCCAGAGATTTCCTGACTGTGCTCTTCTGTTCTTTTGCAATGAGGGGGAAGTCATTTCACTTCCCTAATATACCAGTGCACCTGCTGACTGTGGTCCAGTGGTGCTGTGATATGCTTGAGCTGCAGTCAATTATGCTTTTATTAACGACATTCTCATTCTGAGCTCAGTCCAAAGCTGCAAATGAGCCAGAACCACAGTTTGAGTCACTCTGAGAAACATGGACTATTGAGCAGAGCACTTAAAGGAGCAGTACAAATTTAGAAATTTTAAATAAGTACATATCCCATTTACATTCGAGAGCCATTGAACAGGTTTTTAAAGGGATAGTTCACCCCAAAATAATTGTTTTTCTCTATTTAACCCCTTAAGTAGTTCCAAACCTTTCTTCTATGGAACACTAAAGAAGATATTTTGAAGAATGTTGAAAGCCTCCATACAGGCTTCTTATTTTGTGCCTAACAGAAGAATGAAACTAATAAAGGTTTGAAACTAGTAAAGGGTGAGTAAATGATGCCAGAATTCAATTTTTATGGTGATCTAAACACTGTTGATTGGCCATTGTGTTCACATGCTAAACAGAAAAGACAGTGATTGGCTCTGAAGGTAATTGCTTCACCCCTCTCCAATTGTAAACCCAGACTGCAGGCCAGTCCATTTTTAAAAACCCGCTTGTGTTGTTGATAATAGCCTAGTGGTTAAATGAGCTGACATATGGAATCTTGGTGCTCACAGCAACCCGAGTTCGATTCCCGAGTCGAGGTCATATCCCTTCTCTGCTCCCACTGCTTTTCTGTCTGTCCTCCTCTATCCTATCCCAATAAAAGTAATAAAATAAAAAAATTCTAAATAAAAACACACTTGTGAAATTCCCTTGTTCCCTTGAGAGAGTCCCCGCTGATTTTAAAATGTGTTCTACTCCAGGTTAACAACAGAAGTTTACATGGACATACCGTCAGATTCAGCTTCATATTTTCACTCCAGCACCTATATGCCCAAGAATGCAATGTGATTATGACATGACATCAGCGTAGTTCCCAACTTATCAAGCGTCTAAGGCAGGGGTGGCCAATCCTGTTCCTGGAGCTCTATCTTCCTGCAGATTTCAATTGCAACCCATATTAAACACACCTGCTTGTAATTATCAAGTGCTGTTCAGGTCCTGATTAATTGGTTCAGGTGTGTTTGATCAGGGTTGGAGCTAAACTCTGCAGGAAGGTAGATCTCCAGGAACATAGTTGAGCCCCCCGATTTAGGGCATTCCATTTAAACCCATTCAGATGTTCTGTCAGTAGCGGACACTTGTGTAACTTAATCAATAACGTACAGAGTGAACAAGAAGGAGGGATTTTAGTGAGTGAAGGGCATGAAAAATTAAAATACAGTCACAGATACAGTTGAAGTCAGAATTATTAGCCCCCTTCGAATTTTTTTCTTCTTTTTAAAATATTTTCCAAATGATGTTTAACAGAGCAAGGAAATTTTCACAGTATTTCTGATTATATTTTTTCTTCTGGAGAAAATCTTACTTGTTTCATTTCGGCTAGAATAAAAGCAGTTTTTAATTTTTTAAACACCATTTTAGGGACAAAATTATTGGCCCCTGTAAGCTATATTTTTTCTCGATAATCTACAGAACAAACCACTGTTATACAATAATTTGCCTATTTACCTTAACCTGCCTAGTTAATCTAATTAACCCAGTTAAGCCTTTAAATGTCACTTTAAGCTGTAAAGAAGTGTCTTGAAAAATATATAGTAAAATATTATTTACAGTCATCGTGGTAAAGATAAAATAAATCCGTTATTAGAAATGAGTTATTAAAACTATTATGTTTAGAAATGTGTTGAAAAAAAATCTTCTCTCCATTAAACAGAAATCGGGGAAAAAATAAATAAGATGTCTAATAATTCAGGGGGGCTAATAATTCTGACTGCAACTGTATCTGCATTCGTGCTTGATGAACAGCAGTAAAGAGTGGTAAAATGTTGACCTTCAGAGCGAATCACAGGCTTATCTGTTGAGGAATTGAACATAACAGCCAATCAGCATTGTTTAAAAATGTGCTCAACAGCACACAAAGGTTAGCAGGAAATAGACATTCTTAAAATATCAGTATCGACTGGTAAAAAAGATGATACTTTTGAAAACCCTAATTTACACTTTAAAGGTTTTACTTTAGAGTTAAACGTTTTTGAGAATGATACAGTTTCTGAACTAGAAAGTGCAATTGTGTGAAAAGCTGACACTATGCGTATGCATTTTACATATTTAGTCTATAGGCATATGTGAATACTTGACCTACACAATATCAACAATCGCCACCTTCTGGTTTGCCACATATACCACTGTTTCAGTGAAATTGTGTTAATGGGGATTGTTTTAACAACACTGCTGTCTGCATTCAAATCTTTTCCATTTGTACATGGTTTTGATCCTTAGTTACCCTCAATTCAAAACCTATATTATTATACCTATATTCCACAGCCATATAACCCTGCAGCCCAAGTCCGGTAACTCACTGCTAAGCAGGGCTGAGCCTGGTTAGTGCCTGGATGGGAGACCACATAGGAAAACTAGGTCGCTCAACCTGAGGTCTGCGTGAGTCATAATGCCCCAGTATAGTGAAGGGGACACCATACTGTCAGTGAGCGCCGTCTTTCAGATGAGACATTAAACGAGGTCCTGACTCTTTGAGGTTATTAAAAATCCCATGGCACGTTTCATAAAGAGTAGGAGTTTGCCCTGGCTAAATTCCCTCCATTGAACCTTACGCATGGCCTCCCAACCATCCCCATCCACCGAAATGGCTCTGTCAATGTCTTTCCACTCCATCAATAGCTATTTTGTGGTGAGCGCACTGGTGCCATTGCATCATCCAAGTGTGTGTGTGTGTGTGTGTGTGTGTGTGTGTATATATATATATATATATGTCAACCTGGGCCAAGTCATATCTCTCTTGTCCCAGAAACCTCAGTCCCAAATGAGAGGGTTTTTTTTCTTTTGCAGGGGACATTGTAAATGCCCAGAGATACCAGCTTTTACCAGATTATATTTATATGATGATTTTCCTTTAAACCCATCTCTATCTAAGTGAGTGAGTGATTAAATGTTAAATGTGATGAGTTTTCAACAATACTAAATTGAAACTTAATTTTTTTACATGGTTTAATATTTTTTTGTTATTAAAATTGAAGTTCCTGTTTCAAAGCTTACAGATAGATGGCTAATTTGTATGTCATTGAAACTTTTGGCACTTTTTTGGAGTATTTTCATAAGTTTTGTTTTTTCCTGTAAATGATTCAATAAATACCGTACCGTGACATTCATACCGAGGTATTACCGTACCGTGAAATTCTGATACCGTTACATCCCTAATATATATATATATATATATATATATATATATAAATATATATATATATATTTTTTTTTTTTTTCTTGTTTTTTTTTGTTTTGTTTTTTGTTATTTAATTAGATTTTATTAAAAAAATGTTAACTCACTCAAAGTAAAGGTCTGTGTAAACCAGGACGCTTTTTTTCGCACGTTTTTGGTGGAGGTTTAAGGCCTTGTGACTAAACAAAGGTTTAGTCAATGTGATCGTGCACACCAACGTGCAAAACTGCAGGTGCAAAAGCGTCATTTTTAAAGAAATGCCTAATGCTCGTTTGTTTGTATTGACATACCACGTCAAAACCTTCTTCACCAATCAGATTGGCTCTTTTGTTCACGTCCACGGAGCTGCTGAAGTTACAGTAAACAGCACTTGGAGGCGCTCAAGCACAAAACTGTCAATGCGAGCGCACATTGAAGAAGAGGCCCAGAGGCGATATGAACGCTGGTAAACTATAATAATTTCTTCATTGCTAGAGCTGGAGCTGCTACTTGAACCATTCATGCTTGTTCGAATCGCCAGTAACTTTAACAACAAGCATGTCAACTTTCTGTCTTCTTCTTCTGTGTTACAAGCGGGTGTCAGAAGCTTGAAGTTGTGTAGCGGCATCTAACATCAAGGAGTGATTTTGCATATACGCCGGTGAAAATCGCTTGGGGTTTGAATTCAGAAAAACATCTCGAAAAATGCTGTACAAGCCTTAACTTAGACCATTTTGCAAGTTTATTAGGTAAAGTGCTGCAAACGTCAAGAAACATTGTGAGAAAATGATCAAGAAATACAAATGACATTTTCTTCTCAATTCTTAAATCCGCCCTATTGTTTACCTTTAAAGGCTTTTTATTAAAGTTTAGTTGTGATTTACTTGAAATCTTATTATTATTTTCAAATCTGGCCTTAGTTCAACTAACTACCTCAAAAATGCATTCATAGGATTTAAAATCCCACCAAGGGTAAAGATTATCATTGAATTGCTGCTTAAAGTTTGATCTGTTCATCCCACAGAACTACTGAATGGCTTATGTGGAATATAGAGCAGGAGTCAAATGGACCTTTTTGGATCAGCATTATTACAAGAAGTCATTGCTTAACTGTGTGTGGTAACGCACCTCTTCTCCTGGAAGTCATCATATCATAAGCTTCTCTGATGAGATGATGAGATTCTCAAAGCTTACTGGGCCTCTCCTCCTCCTCAGAGAGAGAGAGCGAGAACGAGACAGGGAAAAAAGACAGTCGACATCATCCATCCTGGCCTTTTAAGGAGAGCTCCTGCTGAGTCTATGAGGAGCTGGCCCACTTTCACACAGCATCTCCATAATTACTGAAAAAGAGATATGCTGCATAAAACACACATCTGACAGTGAGATTTAAATGGATCAAATAAAAGACAATCGTTAAGATGATTCATTTAAAGAAAGATTTCTATCAGCTTGATGATTTTAATCAAATTTCTTCCACCATTGTTCTCTTTTTCTGTTTCATGAAATAAAATAAATAATACAAGTTTAGAAGAATATTGTTTGAAAACATAAATATTTTAATTGTGTCATCATCTAAAAACATTTAAAATCACTGCCTACAGTATTTATTTAATATAGAATTATTATAATATAACAAATATAATAAATTATAGCAACACAGTTGCTCAGTGGTTTGTACTGTCGCCAAGAAGGTAACTGGTTCAAGTCCCGGCTGGGTCAATAGGCATTTCTGTGTGGAGTTTTCATGTTCTCCGCGTGTTTGCGTGGGTTTCCTTCTGGTGCTCCGGTTCCCCCCACAGTCCAAAGACATGCGCTAAGTGAATCGAATAAACTAAATTGGCCTTAGTGTATGTGTGTGTGAATGAGTGTGTCTGAATATTTCTTAGTACTGGGTTGCAGCTGGAAGCAGAGGCCATCTGGCAGACCGGGCAGTTTCCCGCTGGGCTGACGTACTTTTTGGGCGGGGCTAATCATCTTCTTATTATCGGCCCCTGAAACGCTTAGCAGCCTGTTGTTTTTTCTGCCTAATTAATTGACGATGCTATGATCTGTGACGCTCTGAAAGTAAGACACTTTTTGTTTCAGATAGACCGGCCCATGTGACATAATCTGCAGCCCATTGGTTCTTTTCTTTATTGACATTGAATTGACCCATCTCCCTGCATTCGCGTGGGTTTCCTCCGGGTGCTCCGGTTTCCCCCACAGTACAAAGACATGCGGTACAGGTGAATTGGGTCGGCTAAATTGTCCGTAGTGTATGAGTGTGTGTGTGTGTGTGTTTGTGTGTGTGTGTGAATGTTTCCCAGAGATGAGTTGCGGCTGGAAGGGCATCCTCTGCGTAAAAATTTGCTGGATAAGTTGGTGGTTCATTCCGCTGTGGCGACCCCAGATTAATAAAGAGACTAAGCCGACAAGAAAAGGAATGAATGAATGAATGAATTGACCCAATCACAAACACCCAACTTGGAATCAATGTGAGCGTGCAACATCAGTGTGTATTTGTCAAAATAGTTGAGAGTCACGTCTGTTAGATCACACGCGCACGTATGGAGAGCAGAAGCAACACGCATCTAGTCATCTGTCTATAAAAATTTTTAAATTTTTTCTTTTCATCTGCACCAAGGCCCGCGGCAACTTCCTCCTATGCTGTTTCCTTAAAATGCAACTCTTTATTTTCCAAATTATATAGATCCTAAAGAACTGTATGCTTCTCAAGCTGTATGAGTGTCATCCATGTTTTAAGATGCACTCGGTCAGACGACAACCGCCTGTGATTTTTATGACATTTTGTTTTTGATCGTCAGCATGATGTATATGTTTATACAATAGGGTTATGATGAAATGATTTATCATTGTCTGATAAAGGGCCGGGTGGCTCGAAACGTTACATGCCCTGTGTCGGCCTTTTTAATTTAATAAATTTGTATTTTTGGAGGCTTGGTGTTGCCGCCTTTGATTGTACTTTTTGCGGTTTTGGCTGAGCACCCAATTTAGAGAGACGTGCATGCTTTTGTACAGTTTTTTTATGATGAAATGATATTCATACATGACAAAACTAGTGTGCAACTTAAGCAAAACTAATACAATTTTTTTACATTTGGTTTTCTAGTTTGGGCCCAAACAAATATGTTGCATTTTTTTTATTCATTTGATTGACCATATAAAATAAAGCTATGTTTGATGTTTCATTGTTGAGTTAAACATTTTTAAGGCATCCATATGCTGAAAACATAAAACATATGCTGGATAAGTTCTGCTGTGGCGACCCCTGATAAATAAAGGGACTAAGCCGAAGGGAAATGAATGAATAAATACTACATGATTTAATATATATAATTTTGGGGTGTGCAAAATGTTGAAGAGAATCTCTTTTCCCTTTCTGTCTAGCCTTCAGTCCTTTACAAATAAACCTAGGCAAATTGCACAAACATACATCTCCAACACAATATCAGCAACTTTACAATTCAGTCAATCACGGAACTTTACAATTTAGTGGCTAATTTGTATGAATTTAGAGATCTTTTTTTTTTTTTTAGTATGATTTGCTCATCCCACAATGCAGGTTAGGTTTAGAGGTGGGGTTTGGGAGGAAAGCACCTTTTCTAAATCATACATTTTCTTACAAATCAAACTGTATGTACTTTTATGAATTAGCCACTTTTCTGACAATACCTGTTTTGGTAAGCTCTGGTTTCAAAATGTATTTAAAATACAGCAATCAACCTTTTTTGCTACTCTTTCAGTTCTTTATTCATTCAATTTAGCAAACTTCACACAGAAAGACCTGCTGGTCCAGCCGGGACCTAAACCAAAAAACTTCTTATGGTAAGCAACTGTGCTGACCACTTAGCCACCATACTATCTGCATTAATTTATTCATTCATTATATTTTATGACCAGTCTAGAAGAAAAATAAGTGGATAACTAACTTTTCAATACTAGTTCAAGCTGTTTATGCAACCAGCCTCTGGTCTCACAATGAGTTCCCCCATATGCTTAACAGTGGGTTGGTTATTGTGTATTCCGAGAGGGTCACATGAATCATAATATTTCCACAGGCCACTGTACTGCTGCCCATCAGATAAAAAGACCAGAAATGAGTCAACTGGGAGACCAGGTGAAGTAACACTAAGGCCAATTTTCCCATCATGCTCTTTAAAGGTGAATTTTGAGTAACTAGTCTCAGTTTTAAAAAGCAATATAAGAGAGCTGGTCATCTCACTGGACTATTGAATAACGTGGTAGGATACTTTTGCATAGTGTAAGATTATTAAAACATTGTGATCATCATTTAACATTTGTTGTGGTTTTGGAAAAATAAATTAGAGAGAATATTATATTAGTTTCACATTACACTGTAAAAGTATCTGTTAATTAACAGTTTCCATGTTTTGTGACTCACATATGTTTTCTGTTTATTTATAAGTGTGATTTATAATTCATTTACAATTGCATTATGCAATGTTTATCTCTGCTCTGTCGACTTTTGAAAACTCTACAATTTACTAAAGTGACTTTTATTAACATTTTAGTAGTTTAAAATAATATAATCAGGGTTTCTGCAGGTTTCACAGAGTTAAATTTAAGACTTTTTAAGACCTTTTTAAGACCATTATAAATTACATTTTTGACTTATAAGCAATGTGTCAAATGGCCCAGATTTTTTATTAAAGATTTTTATTTGCCCCATCAAAAACAAAATTATAATTTAATACATTTAATAATACAATAATAAATGTAAAAGATATATATATATTATATATTAAACATAAAAAAATGAATATACATATATATATATATTAGATTACTAAATTAGATTTTATTTCTTAGCAAAATATTTTTAATATTGTGTAAAAACAAGCAAACTCTACTTGTATCCATACACTTTTTTTCAACATAAACTTTCTTTAAAATAAAAAAAAAGTTTTTAAAAACTATTATAATCTAAAAGTATAACAATCTTTCCAGGTGGGTGTCCTTAGCAGTAAATACATGAAGCACGTTTAAACAAATGTTATTGTAAGGGAAAAAATTGGACCATTATGATAAATAGAGTTAAAAATGACCTTTATATTATATAGTTTTATTGAGATGGATTGTTGGTGATTGTATGGGTTTTGGCCAGATTGGGTAGCTATACATGAATAAAAAAATTTAAAAAAGATTTAAGACCTACAACCCAACATTTCAGTAAATTTAGGACATTTTAAGGCCTAAAATTTGAATTTTGAGATTTAAGACATTTTAAGACTTTTTAAGACCCTGCAGAGACCCTGATAATGTATAATCACTTTATTTTATATATTTATCGCTTTACTATTAACTATTCAAATGCTCATAAGACACGTTTTCCAACTTTTCAAGCTTAAAAGTTGTTGGAAAAAAGATGAAGGTCCCATAATGCAATTAAAAAGGATAAATAATGTATGTAATATAGCCATACTTTGAAGCATTATCCTTTCTACGATGCTTATATATTTAGGCCTACATTTCAGTATTTCAACTGTATACTAAAGAACAAATACTTTACAGTTTCTATAACTGATCTGATCGGTATCTGTATCAACCAATACTTTTAGAATTCTTTTTATTGGATCGGATCGGTTTTAAAATAATGGAATCACTGCATTCCTAGTCTAAATGATTAACATTTTGTCAAATATAATGACAATTTATGTACAGTTGAAGTTATTAGCCCCCCTTTGAATTTTTCTTTCTTTTTTAAATATTTCCCAAATGATCTTTAACAGAGCAAGGAAATTTTCACAGTATGTCTTATAATATTTTTCTTCTGGAGAAAGTCTTATTTGTTTTATTTTATCTAGAATAAAAGCAGTTTTGAATTTTTGAAAAAAAAAAAAAAAACATTTTTTAAGATCAAAACTATTAGCCCGTTTAAGCTATATTTTTTTCGATAATCTACAGAACACGGCATTGTTATACAATAACTTGCCTAATTTCCCTAACCTGCCTAGTTAACCTAAATAACCTAGTTAGGCATTTAAATGTCATTTTAAGCTGTATAGAAGTGTCTTGAAAAATATCTAGTCAAATAGTATTTACTGTCATCATGGCAGAGATAAAATAAATCAGTTATTAGAAATGAGTTATAAAACTATTATGTGGGGGGCAAATAATTCTGACTTCAACTGTATGTAGCTGCATTTTAACAATACTTCTTATCTTTTATTATAATAAAGATGTTTTCAATCTTGGTTAGAAGATTCCAGTTGAACTCAGGTGCACTAAATGTGCTCGTTTGAAAGCACACTAAATGAGATATCAAGATTTTCTTGTATTTTCTGTGATGAACTTGCACTTAGTCATACAAGAATGTATGAAAAAATGTTTTACCTTTGCATCTATTTTTTGTCTGCGTATGATGGTGTTGTCATTACAAACACTGTTCATGCTGATCTGTGAAAGTGAAAATAAAAATGCATTACTCAAATACAATGATTTCGAAAACATTAAAAAAGCATTTTCAGCTCCCCAAATTCTGTTTTTGGGCAAATTAAAAGCCTTTTAAAATCCAAATGTTTTCATTT